GGGAAAGTTTCTTTTGACTGCAGCGCCACCTTTATTTTTGTACAATGCAAAATAATAATACTTAAGAAGTGAAGTCATTTACGAACTCTAACAACAACTTTTTAAAAAACTAAAATACCTCAAGCTATTCCAGAGATACTGTCCAAAGCAAAGCAACTCGCGCCGTAACCTTCCCTAACAATAAGACGATTGCTGTTTGCCGGCCATTTTAAAAAGTTTTAGAAATTGTGAATATATATTTTTACAGTACAAAGCATGAGCAAACAGTACTGAATGAAGTGTTTGAGATGATGCAACTTAATGAAAAAGAAAAAAAAATGTGTACAGAATTATAATTTAAAAATAATTTGTATTAATCATTAGACAAATTAAATACCATAAATAAAAAAAACCTTTAGTGACAAAAAAGAATAGAGAATTTCCTAATAGAGACCTAATTGACCAGTGGTAGAGACAATTGGTTAAATGTAAAAGTTACTACAAAGAAATAAATCGAAGCCTGTGACTGATTTTTTTAACAACAAAAGTGAAAAAGTAGCAGAGCGGGTTACGATGCCTGTCATTTAACATTTCTGTTACTTCTGGTAATATTAGAAAAGGTTTAACAGCAAAAGGGTCAAGAGACACCTCAAAATATTGTTCGGGAATGTAGCAAGGTTATTAAATAAAGAAACAGTAAAAATAAAATATCAAAGGTTTAAGACATTGTGATATGGGGAAGTTTGCGCGAAATTTTGTCACAACCATAAAAATCCGTAAAATGACAGATAACAGACTGTGCTTTCAAATAACGCGTGGTCAGAGACAATCTTTATCAGGAACAACAGACTTAACGATCTAGAGAGAGATGAAGAAGATTTTGGTTTATGGAAGTTAGGTCAAGATCTGGAATCTCAGAATTAATTGGATCCAGACAAACGAAAAATAGTGAGTTAAAGGATTCAAATCCAGCGATTCTGCACTCAGACATGTATGCCGCGTTTTAGTATTGCTTTAATCGTCGTCAACATCGTGTACAGTTCCTTATAAGACAGTATTTTATTGTCTGCTACACTTACAAGATAAGTTATAATAGATTTAACCTCGCTTACCAAACGAAAATCTTTTAAGCACACGTTATTATCAATTGAATAACTAATTATTAGCACATATAAAACCAGATTTTTAATCGCTAATAATTTTGTAATGACAAACAAATCTTTCCAAACTAGCTAAAGCAACAAAATTTAGACGAGTTCTAAATGAATCGTCCACGTTGACTTGCAGACAAACACAAAGATAACACTCTTCATCGAAAATACTTTGAACAGTGAGATTCGCAAATTTTGATGATCGATCATCGAAAGTATATAAGCAAACGATGTAGTTTTAAAGCATCGAACACAACAAGACACTAATCTGTAAATCGCAGATCTAGGAGATACCTACTATAAAAAACTATAAAAATGTGTGCAATTGTGTGGATATAGCTTCAGAATAAAAGTAAATAGGAATACAAAAATTAGACATCAATATCTATTTGAACTATTTTCTGAAATTCTAGATACCCTGAGAAGACCTGTGTTATACCTTGAAGAACTTAAGTTTCTATACAGAGTGATTTATTAGCTCACCATCAAACTTTGACATATGATAGCTAATTCAATTACCAACAAAAAATGTTACTGAACATATGTCCTATTTCAATTATTTACGAAATTATAACACTTTATAGTTTTAATTTTTATATCATAATTAACTGCTTCATTTTTTTTAAACACATAAATATTACAAATATTGTTCACAATAGCCTCCTTCTGCTAGAATACATGCTTCACAACGACGAATTAATGAGTTCTTCAGCCGAATTAAAATGTTTGGTTGATTTCTTATTTCAGTAGCAACCATTTGTATTTTGTTTAATAACAATAACTGTTCTCGTGTGTTAATTTCTACTTGATACACAATTTGTTTTATTTGACCCCATAAGTAGAAATCGAATGGATTAAGGTCGGGGGATCTAGGTGGCCAAGCAAATAGACTATTATTATCAATCCACTTGTTTGGAAAATATTGGTTTAACGACTCGACAACTACTCTTCCGCGATCAAGTGGGGCACCATCGTGCTGGTACCACATATTTTGAATTACATTAAGAAGTATATCTTCAAGTAAATCAAAAAGTGTATTGTTCAACAAAAAACTGTAATTTACAAACCTAGTAAATTGTTGTCAAATATTCCACACCAAACGTTGATGCTGGAATGTTGTTGAAATTTCCTTGGTCTAATCGTATGCGGATTTTGTAATGCCCAGATATGTTCATTATGGTAATTATTTATACCATCTCGTGTAAAACATGATTCATCTGTCCAGAAAACATTTGAAATAAAGTCATTATTTTGGGCATGTTGCTGCAATAGCCATTCACAGAATGCTAACCGTTGCTGATTATCTCCTGGCTGTAGAGCTTGAACATTCTGTTTACGATACGGATGAAGAACGTCGCGGTTCAATACGCGCCATGCAACATTTTGACTTACATGTATGTTGTGCGCTATTCTTCGAGAACTGATTGATTATCAATGACAGCATTAATTACAGCTTCTTCGTCCTCTACATTAACTACTTGCGATCGAATAGCTTTTGCTGGAGCAGGATTACCTGTTTCTCGAAGTCTTCTGAAAGAATAACTAAAAACTAAATAATATGGCAAATGACGCAGTGGAACTCTTTCTTGATATTCTCGTACTGATTGTCGAGCATTTCCATTGCAAAAACCATACACGAAAATTAAATCAGCATACTCTTCAGTGCTATAAGCGTAAATTTTAAGTTTCTTCTTGTATGTAATAATTTAATCTTACAGCAAACTGACATATTACAATGACAACTTTGTTTTTGTTGAATGTTTGATTTTACTGACTATTTATAAATTCGCTGCAGAGAATGGTGCATCTGGTGCGCCTCAACCGTCGCACCAGATACACCACACTCGCAAGACAATTGCAGATGTACTCGATATCAGGACCCCATCTCAACGACGAGTCCAAGTAAAGTCCGAGAAAACGGGTCGTACCCCTTTCTTTTGAGAAGAAATCCAGGGACTGTGTTTTGTCGTTATTTAGTAGGAGCTTATTTGCGTTCATCCTGTCCGCAGTAGAGCCCAAAACTTCCCCGTTCCTCAACTCCACCGTCCATGATGTGTCGCCTCGAACCACAAAAGACTTATCATCGGCATATAAAGATGTAGTGACGCTCGTCATACAATCCGGCAGATCACTCAGATAGATCGTGAAAAGTAAGGGACCAAGGATTGACCCCTGGGGAACACCACATAAATACTTCCTTCCGTCTGACAATTTCCCCTTCCAATGAACCATCTGGTATCTTTGAGAAAGGTATGACTCAATAAGTTTTAATTGGTTACCTCTAACATCGTAGAATTCTAACTTGTAGATCCATGGAATACTTGCAGTATACCATGGTCCACGGTGTCGAACGCTCTGCTCAGATCACAACAGATCATTTTATCTTTTTCGAAACCATCATGTGCATCAATGAATGTCTCTTGTTATGTTCATAATAGCCGTCGTTGTAGATCTTTTTGATCTATATCCATGTTGACTTTCAGTTATTATGTCATTCCTATCTAAGTAGATTGAGAGCATTCGCTTGATTAGTTCCTCAAAAACCTTTGAAAAAACCGGCAACAAGGCTATAGGTCTGTAATTATCATACTCATTGTCAGCTCCCTTCTTTAAAACGGGAGCAATTTTAGCCCATTTTAATTTATTTGGAAAAATTCCCTGCCCGAAACATTTGCTTATCAAGGCCGTTAAAATCGGGGCCAACTCCTGAACCACCTGTTTAATGATATAGGTAGTGAAACCGTAGATATCCTCGGATTTTTTTCTTTTTAAATTTTTAATCACGTTAATTATCTCTTCTTCGTCAGTAGACGGGAAGAAACAGGAATTTAACTTATTTTTCTTAGACAGTTTTAGGTATTCACTCGCTTCAAGGGCGGGTGGAGAGATCTTGCTCAACAATGACTGCACCACATTTGAGAAATGCTCACTAAAACCGTCTGCACATAGGTCACTCCCGCCTTCTGATTTTTCTACCTTTAGTTTACGTTGTTCATTTACAATTTCCCACATTTTTTTGTTTTTATTTTCCGCACCTCTTATTGCCATAGTATTTTGTTTTCTTTTCTCCTCCTCCTCAACCAATATTGTGTAGACATCTTTATAAGATTATCGAATTTCTTAAAAGTCACAATTTAATTTGATTAAATTCAAAAATGAATAATAAAAATTAGATAATTGAAAATTAAATTGAAAACAGTACCGGTACATAAACAAAGTTCTCGACTTCTAAATAAACACAAAGTACAAGAGCGGCTTCTCATAACACAGTTAGTAATTTACTCTCCACCTCTTCTCATCTTATAAAACTAGCAGCTAACTTGTCTAAACTTACGAAAGGGTTGTAAACGAATCCTTTGGGGGATCAAATTTGAACGAACAGATATTTCTATTTTATTACATCGGTTCGCACCTGGTTGAGCCTTTATATTTTTGGGGTTGTCGGAGGAATGAGATGGGGTCTTATTAATTAAATTTAATGCGAAACGGAACCGTAGGGTTGCTCACTTGCCCTTGTTTAATTAATTAAATAATTATGTGCTGTGCAGCGCCGGAAGGCAACGTCGTCGTTAGGTTTTCGATCTGCTGTCACGGAGCGTGCTTCTCTTTAATTAGTTTTGTTACTTTTGCGCAGACAGGTAGGTGTCCTGAATTAAATCTCGTCCCGAGTTACTTTGTAATTTAGTTGTGAGCGTCTAAATGTACTACATTTTCATCTCTTGCAAAGAGACATCGACCTGGGTGAATAATGTCACGATACTCCGGTTAGGGATTGTAGAAAGCACTTCAATTTTAATCTAATAATGTTCAATTAATATTCATTTGTGTGAGATGTGAGATCAAATTAATATTTACTTTGATTTCAGATTGATGAAAATAAAATCGTCAAAAACCTCAATAGATAAAAAGAAAACAGTTGTAACCTGAAGTAAACACACCCGTCACGAACAAACTTACCAGTTTCGTTGTATACGAAGTGTTTGAACTGCACGAACGGACGAAGCCTGCATTTTCAGCGACCAATTTCAGCGTAAAATTCCAGCTGCCACCAGTTGGGATTCTGACATTGTTGGTGAATCGTATAAGCATTTAAGGGAGGCGGCGAGACGCCTACAAACCGATCGGAAATGAGAGCGAAGTGAGAAGAGGCAGTTCGAAAAGTCCAAGATGCGCCCTCAGGGGCATTTCGTCGCACTCTGTGTTTTATTCTCAGTACAAGCCATCGTCGGTTACTGTTATTTTATAGACTACTTCAGAGGTAAGTACCGCAAAGAACCGTCGAGTTTTCTACGGACACGAGCTATCCGAAAGTTTTTCTCGCGCCACTCCCTATTAGTGAATTTTTAGTTGGAGTACTAAAGTACTTGTAAACGTTTAGATACTTTTCAAAGTTTACGTTTCGAATGAGTTATTATCGCGAGACGCAATCGTTAAATTTCGAAAATACGAAAATTAATTAAACGGGTTTAATTACAGGTTGAGTTTATTAGAGATAAATTTATTTGCCGAATGTGTTTTGGGGAAGTCGCCAGAAATTAGTTAGAGAAGAAAACGGGGTTCGGTGTAAAATACTATCAGGTGCGGCTAATTGAGTTTAATGTCTTTCACTAAACACAGCTATAAAATTTTATTACTTCCCGGTTTTCTCTAAGCAAGAAATTAAAGTTCGCTTACAATTAGTAGGCGAATCGACAAACATTCGTAATTCGACTTTGAATTATTTAGTAAATTAATATTTTCTTTTACTAGTTGAATATATTGTAACCGTTTTATTAACATTAATAAATTCCCAAAAAGTTGAAACCAGAAACCGGACGAAATCATAAAACTTGTAAGGTCAAGAGTAGCGTTCATAACTTAACTCGTAAATGTAGTTAAATATTCACCGCATGACGTTTTGTGTTACGAGCATATATTCTTCGAACTGCGCCATAAATTGGTGTTACATTGTAACTTTAAGGAAAGGATGTAATAAGATGTTTTAATATTTAACACGTGTTTTCAAGGTGTTAGATTCAAGCAGAACAAAAGAAAATCTTAGAAAATCTTTTAAACTTGATGTAATTAGATGTAACTGATAATTAATTTTCAAAATTTACTTAAACTGAAAACTTTTCAATGAAATATTTTAATAGTTTACTAATTGACATGGAAATCGGAGCACCGCGAAGAGGTAGGAATTTTTGATTAAACTTTGCAGAGACAAGGAAATAGAAAACATTTTAAAGAAATAGACCAAACATAGTTTTTATTAATGATTAATTGGTCTACTTCTACTGCTTACAAACTTCGCCACTTTCCACCACTATCCGTGGCATGAAGTCTAACAAATGATCGATTTTCTCAAGATATATTGTGTCCTTGGCAATCTATAATTCGTGCTGTAGAGGTTGTAACGTTTGCGGAGGATGCAGCAATTTCCTATCTCCTCCCTTGGCTAGAGATTGACGTCATCTACACGTCTTGTAAAACAAGAACTTGTAAACTATGTGGTACCCCATACCATGATACAGTTTAGTGTATAACCTAGTAACGGAAAATTCATTAGTATTGGACACCATTCTAGATTTGTGTGCACCTACAGCACTCTGAACCTTACACGATAACATTGCAAGCGAATAGGTCCTATTGCTAGCGTCAGTTGTTACCTAGTAATAAGTTGAAGATGACAATCCTGTACTACTTATTCTTCTTCAACCATATCAGGTAATCATGACTGATAGCAGCGCATGACGGAGAAATGATAATTGTTAAGGCGACTTACAATTTCTCTGAACGAATGATAACCTTCGCGCAAACCAATAATATACGATCAGCAATTTATTTCTAACTTAATGTACTATGGCTACATAACAAATAAATAATATTATAAAAATAATAAATTCTTCGTTATCATTCTTCGTCACTTTTACTATACCAGTTTAAATTTTAAATCTTCTAACTAAGCTATCGTTACTCAGGACCTGGTGGGGATTCTCGATATTGATGAGTATTTGATTTTAATAACTTTACACGATATTTAGATTGATTTGACTGGTTCAAGTTAAGAGTGGAATGCCATTAGTCCACACTGGTTTGAGAGTTTGTTGGTAAGTTCTTCATATTTTTCTTTGAGATGTGGTTACCATCTTACTCTCTTTTAACTGTTTAATTTTAATTCTGAAGTCTTACTTCAGAATTAAACGTGAAGTGTCAGCACCTCATAATCCAATTGTTCTTCGGTTTTCCATGAGACTGCCAAAGTAATTCTACTACTATTTGCTAATAATTGCGTGATACGTTTTTAATGATGGAAAAATCTATCAGGTTTGGTATCTTATCTGGATCTGTTTGATGGTGGCTTTGATGGTGATCAGCTTCGATTTCTATCCTGTATATTTAGTACAGTAATTACCTCTTACGATAAATCGATTGCTTATGGCTTAAAACAACTGTTCATTTCTTCCACATTTAACATAATGTGTTGGAGAACTCTATAAACTAATATATTGGAATCCATGTTGCAAGTTAAATATGTAATAAATAATAAATAACTTCTACTTGCTTTATTTAAATATACAGTCGTACATGTTTCAGGAAATTATTCCCATCTTCAGCGACAAGCTATTAAAATAATGAAAATCACATTAGATATTAATCTTACATTAATCTTACATTTTTAGAAAATCTACAATGATTCCATCCACTATACCTTTTAATTCTGCTCATCCATTAAATCATAAATTGGCAAATTTCAGATTCCTTATTAATAGATGTATTGATTACCCTTTATCTGTTGAAAATAGAAATATGGAATTTAATTATATATATAATTTAGCGAAAAATAATGGTTTCCCAAAAGAAATTATTGATAAACTTATAATTAGAATTCAACAACAGAAAGATCCATTATACATTAAAACAATAAATACTTCAATTTACAAATCTATTCCTTATAACTCTATTTCCGCAGAAAGCAATTTCTTATTTAAGAAATATAATATTTCATTAGCATATTCAAATAATAACACTTTATATAATTTACTTTCCAATCATCATATAAAAGAAAATAATCAAATGAAAGATAGTGGGGTTTATTCTATTTAGTGTTGCAATTGCAATAGTATATATATAGGTCAAACTGGACGTAAACTGGAAACACGCATTAATGAACATAAAAATAAAGCTCAATCCAATGTTTTCAAACATAAACTAGAGACAGGTCATGTAATAAATTACAAAGATGTAAAATTAATTCATAAATGCCAAAAAAGTTACAAATTGGATTTATTGGAATTATTGGAGATTCATAAACATAAAAAGAACAACAAACTTAATGTTATTAATGACCAAATTTATAATAATGACAAACCATTGTTTAATTATCTTATTTAGGATGTACAAGATTTTTTGAATTTTATGTTTTTGTATTTGTTTAATATTTCCGCAGTCTTGAAACTAGTTACCCTGATGTTTCCTTTTCATATATTCTTTCTTTGTCCTTGGGGGGGTCTTTTCCTTTTTTTCCTGTTTTTCGTTCCTTTTGGAATTTATTTGGTTTCACCTTCAGTGTCTTTCAATCCTCCAAATGAACAAATCAAATTTAATGTTATACCTTATATGTTTTTTTTACAATTTAATTTTAATGTTTGATTTGTTATTTATATTTTTATAGGTAAGACTCTTTCTTTTAGTCTCTAATATATTTAATTTTATTTCCTTTTTTGTCTTAGATTTAACGTAATTTTAACGCCATTTGAAAAAAATTTTCTTATATCTTGAATTCATTTTAACATGGTTTTTCCTTTGGAAAACTATTATTTTTTATATGCTTTGCTTGGTTTGTGATCCTTCTTACGGTTCCTGACGGTGAGTTCTTTTTTAATATGTTCAGAGTTCACTTTTCATTTTTAATTCTAGTTATTTGATTTTAAATGTTACCATAAGATTAATATCTAATGTGATTTTCATTATTTTAATAGCTTGTCGCTGAAGATGGGAATAATTTCCTGAAACATGTACGAGTGTATATTTAAATAAAGCAAGTAGAAGTTATTTATTATTTATTATATATAAACTAACCTCAACTATACTACTATTTTTAATTTTAATAGTATAACAGCTGGGGCTTGAATATCTTTTGCTTCAGTTTTAGCATCTTGAAAATGATAAATATTTTCGTTAATTATTACTGCACTTCTCTCTTTTGTTGTGTTTTCTGGGTGATTGGTGAAGTATCTTCATATCCTTTAAATTTGATAAATCATTGTTTGATGAAATGCGTTCACGATATCAGGCATACAGCTATCTTGTTTATATCTTTTTTAAATTGATTATTTTTCCTTTGTTGTTTTGTATATTATGTGTGTTCATTTTTTGTTTAGATTTTATCATTAGCTCTGTTTTTAAGCTTTTGTAGTTCTTTTACCACTACATATCTTCGATAATTTGCGGGGTGGTTCTATACAATTCTCCCATTTTCGATTTTGGTTTGAAGTTTCTTGACAGTTAACTCTAGACTAATTTTGATATTTTTATTATAACAATTTTTCCCATCTACAATTTGTGTTATTTTGTATATTTTCTCATTGTTGGCGAATGTTATCATAAACATGTCTAAAGGTTCATTATTATAAAACTATGTGTATTTAGTTGGATAGTATTAATTTGGTTCAACCGGTTTCAAATGCTAACCGCTCCTGATGATGAATGCGGTTAGCATTTGAAACCGGTTGAACCAAAATAAAATTATCCGTTTAAAGACAGATAGTTTTATTATTTTATAATGCCTAAAGATGGGGTTTGGTATACTTTTTGCACTTCTTATTCTTTTTATACAATATATACATATGTTTTACTATCATCTAGTCCGTTTCTCTGGAATCTTCTTCCTCATCCGTATAGTATTTCTGTCGGGGTACCGGAGAGGTTGCACTCGTTGATCCTGGTGTTACCACTCTTTTTTCTATCAATTATCGTTGTTTGACTTGATATCAGGTTTCTTTTAATTCTATTGATTTGCTTTTATAAATTTGCGTTTATAATTTTTAATTGATTAATCTCATTATTCGCTTCTTGGAATTGAGAGACTGAATTCCATCCGGAAACAAAGATTTGCAACTGTATGTTGTTCTTTCTGACTTCTGTGAGAGATTTCCAGGAAACAGCACTTCGTTCTGGTGTTTGTGCATCTTCTCATTTAGTGTGTAATTCGTGATATTTTCCGTATCACGTCCGCATTGCTTTCTTTATTACTCATAATTTATAAACACTTGATAG